TATTAATTTATTAGTTGTTAATTTAATTTTATTAATTTTATAGCGATTTAATATCTGTATCATAATTATTATAATCCATTACATGTTACAATTCACGTAACTTTTATTATATTATAATTCATGTAATCTTCTATAACAAGTTAAAATCAAATTTGGTATTGAATTAAAGACATTAATAATACTTACGCAGTTCTGTCGTACATTTGAATATTATCAAATCCTTCGTTAGTAGTTAAAACCTCAACACCATTTAATTTTTCGAATTCTGCGAATGGATCAATTTGTTTATTAATACCATAAGAATGATCCTTGTCTCTTTCAATGTCAACAGACATTTTTTCTAGAAAAACAATTAAAAATTAAAAAATTTACAGAAAGGTAAAGAAATTTAAATTCGAAAACGATATAAAACATGTAATCCATCCACTTACAACAAACAGACGATTACAGAATTTAGTGCAAGCATGAGGAAATGATCTTCCTTGGAGGGAAGGAGGGAGGGAAGGAGGGAGGGAAGGAGGGAGAGCTGCAAAAGAGCGCAATCCCAGGTAGACTAAAAAGCAAGAGTAAAACACAAGTACAAGACAAGATAAAATAAAAGGTATAAAAAGAACTTTAAAAATATGGAAAATTACCTGTCATTACTTTCGGACTATTCTTATTTACGATAAGTGTAATCTTTCCTTTACTATTCTTATGAGACATAATACTTTCGATCCGATATAATATACGATTCGATCTATTGCTCCTTATTGCATAAAACAATGAAACACGAATTAACAAATACAATTGTTTTTATTTCCATAGCAACGATTTATATACTTGAAATTGCATGTGGAATACAGATCAATGATATCGATATATTACAAGATTGCTTTATATACTTGAAGTTACATGTAAATTAATATCAATATAATATATTAGATTAGCAAAAGAGTAAATTGCGTTTTTTATAGGCACAAAAATCTATCACTAAAAACCGCAGTTCATTTTCTTATCAACCCAACATAAATACATCTTGATAGAGAAAAGTTTCTACTCATCAAAATTCTGATTGGATGATCTAAAAGAATATACCAGCGCTCACTCAACTGTTGAGTCTGCTGAACGCGCCCATTGATAACATGCATGCGTTTTAGAAATCCCTCTACTCTAAAAACATCCTCTATTTTAAAAGCATATAAAAATTATTTCAAAAAATAATTTGTGGTCCGTATTTAGAACACGCTAATAACGATGTTAGCGCGTTGACAGGCTATAACTTACGTTACGCATACTATAGAATTTAAAAACAATATTCCTTTTATTTACACACAATCATTTGTACAAATCGGCCCTTTTTTATGTTCTCTTCTCAGATTCTACGTCTAATTTTACATATATACATAAGTTAAACAATAATAATAAGGGCTACAAACCAATACCAATTTTTAAAATAATAAATGTGTTTATTACAACAATCACATACGTTTCGACATATTATCCGATTATCCTCAGTGTATTAGTACAGCATATCGTAATTACTAATAATAATATAATAACATAATAATAATAATGATAATACAGTATAATAATAATATAATAATAATAATATAATAATGATAATACTAATAATATAATACTGATAATATAATATAATACTAATAGTAATATAATTACGTATTAATAATTCAAGAAAATTGTGATAGTGCCTCCACCAGGATTAAATTCAGCACGATACGTGGAGGAAGTTTTAAGTCGGCATGTGCTCCCAATGCGCGACAGAATTGGAAGAGAATTTTTACTGATGCAAGACAATGCTCGTCCTCATACGGCACAAAATATTCGTCGCTTTCTCAGATCAAATGACATCATAACTCTTGAACACCCACCAATGAGTCCAGATCTCAACCCTATCGAACATCTATGTGATATCCTTGGATGACGACTGCGAAGTATGGAAAGACCTCCTGTAACTTTGGAAGCACTAGGAGTTGCACTTTGACGACTTTGGAACGATATCACCCAAGAATTGATACGTTGGTGCATCAATATACAAGAGCGATGCCAAGAAGTTGTATGGCAAAGAGGAGGCAATACGCGTTTTTAAATACCCCCCTGTGTATGTGTGGGGCGGAGGGGGGGATAAACGCCCCACACGTACGCACGCACGCACGCACACACACACGAAGTACAAGTCCGACCGTGCAACCTCCTCATGGTATACCTTCGATTATGCTAATGCCGGCGGCACACTTATCATTTTTATAAAAAATTTTTTTAAATATAATTAAACGTCCATAATGTTACTTTTCAATAAGTCATTTTAAAAAGCATGCTTCAATTCATGCTAATTTGAGCTGGAAAGCATTTTTTGCAACTCCATAGAACCGTTTGTCTTTGTAAAATTTTTGAGATTTGAATCCTTGTCAAATTTCCATTCTGTTTCCTAGTGTAAAAGCACCTTCGAGGAAAATTAATTTTGCGAATCGAAAGTAGAATCTTTGCCCTTTAAAATAAGGCGATGACAATAGTTTTACGATATTTTATTACGAAGTTATCACAGTTCAAAGATCAACAATTTTTTAGCAAAAATTTAGCAATTCTTTAAAACTTTGCGAAGTTTCACGGAGTAAATGGAAAATTGCACAGAAATTCGATGTACAGCGTTCGAAAGTCTGAATCTTTACCTTTAATCTGCTTTTTTGTTGAGCCTTGTACGATTCCTTTTCACCAAGTTAATCAACATTAACCCTTAACCCGCACACGTCAGCTTTCCAACGTAACCGGCACACGGGGTAAAAAATACCCCAGGCACTTTGGACGTTCGTCACGGCAAAAGTAAATGTTCAATTGGGTTCAACAAAATGTAATACATATTTCAAAGGTATTGACACGAGACCCACATGATATTACTGATAAATTATTAGTTTAAAAGATAGAAAAATATTGTTAAAAAAACTGTCTGTCGAAAAATGACTTTTTTCACTATAAAAATCGTATCTCGGTCGAAATTAATTATTTTTTAATAAAATTTGAGCTGTGTGCTCTTGAGATATAGCGCTTTCAGAAAAAAATTATGATTTTAGTGAGTTATTAAAAAAAGGTATTTATTTGAATGATCGAATGTGGCCATTTTCCCGAAATTTTCGATGTTGATTTTTATAAGAAAATAAATTTATATTTTATATTTAAGGCAGGGATAGTCAATTTTATTACACAAATTTGTCTTACAGACTTTATTTTATCGAATAGTAGAAAGAATAT